GAATGTTGATGATGAGAGGAGACAAAGCTGTGGGGCCCAACTGGCCCGTTGTATTGAAAGCTTAGAAATCTTCGTCGCTACCGATCGGATCATTTTTGACTCGGTATGATGTGATGCGTATGAAAATAGAGAGAGACAGCAGTGTTTCGGCCGTTCGGAAATACAATGGTAATTAATAGTACTGAATCGCTTTCTCAGTTGGCGGTTCCACCTTGCTTTATCCAATCGAAGTGCTGTTGAGATCGAAACAGATTGTTCGATGTGTTTTAAAGCTTGCTGACCGACAAAAATGATGGCGAATTTTCAAACCAGTTCTCTTTTTTACTTCGTGTGAGCCAAACGAACAAAACGTGAACCCTTCCCCTTGTTTTACCCTTCAGTACCGGTATGAGTAAGTGCGAGTAGTAAGTCGTAGCGTGCCGTACGGGGTAGGAAGGCAAATGTGTGGACGAAAAGTGTAATAGGTTATGAGTACAATAAAACGCGCCAGTTATTAGCTGTGAGCTCTTAACTTTGCTTGCTTGTTAGTGCTACCAAAGCACCAATCAGATTTAGAGAATCTGTCAGTCGGAAAGGGCTTTCTTTCCTCTTTCCAAGGATGTGCACATTGCAGGGTGTTTGCTTTCAAAAACCTTTTCGGGCTTGTTGATTTCTCTGGGCACGAAAAATGCAAAAAACTCTCATTTAATCAACCTCAACATAGGGACCTGTCACCCCCATTAGACTGAGCACTAAACAACACTCTCCTGTCCACACACCCACCTGAATAACTTCATTATAACAAGGGGAAGGGGACCGTGAAGTAGCGGATCGATCGAACGAGTGGTTTACGAGAAACAAGAGTCCTAACACACAGGGAAAAAATCATCAAAAAACAGCAATGACGAACTCCCCAGTGTAACTAAAACGAATCAACCTTCCCCCCCTTAACAAAGACAACCAGTGACCGTAACCTCCTTAATACATCAAAGGAGACTTGATCCGGAAGTATCGTTGCAATCGACCGAATATTTTGAAAGAAAAAGCAGTTTTTGCTGTATTTTGGGTGTAATTTGGCTGCAAAATGAACAACACCACCAAGGCGGCCCCTGGAGGGGAAGGAACGCTGCAGGAATCCACACCAGCACCACGCGAATCATCGGCAAGGATCATGGAGAGGATGGGGTTGATTGCTGGCACCAGCAGGAACACTCCTGCTGAAAAGAACACTCCTGAAAAGAACAAACAACAGCAACAAAAAAGAACAGCGTCGACTATTCCTATTGGGGCTGTGGCAAATGGACATGCTGTTGCAGCATGTAGGCGTACACAAATTGCGACAAGGGCCTTGGTTATGGCTAAGGAAGAAGGTGAGGATTGCAC